AGAAACAGTTGTGGAACCAACAAAGTGGTTGCCGAGCAACACACAGAAGTAAACAAAGGTGTAGCTTCGAACGCAGCTCAACCAATCAGAATCAAGGACCGGAACTATCCGTTTTATAAAGTAAATTTTACTCACAAGCTACTTTGGGCAAAGATACAAATCTACCGGAGGCTGTAAGAGCACCTGAAACAAATACAGTTACACTACTGTTTAAAAGTTAAAAAGATTTATTTAATGCTTTTGAAGAAGTCTCTTATGCTCACTAAGGCTGCATTTATTTGATCAGTTATATAGAAAAACAGTAATATTGTGAAATATATCATAATTTAAAATAACTGTTATTGTATTTCAAATTTGCCTTCAGTGTCACATGATTCTTCAGAAATCATTATAATATACTGATTTAATGCTCAAGAAACAGCATTTGTGCTGTAGAATATTTTTGTGAAAATATTTTTTTCAGGATATTTGTTGAATAGAATGTTCCAAAGAACAGCATTTATTTGGTCACTTTTTTATTTCACTTTTGATCACTTTAATGCACCCATGGTAATTAAAAGTATTAAAGGGGTCATATGATGCTTTTTTAAAGATCATTATTTTGTGTATTTTTGAAATCGCATCATATGACCCCTTTAATTTCAACTTAAAAAAACAACAACTAAATGAGCAAAAATTTAGAATATTATATTATATCAGTACATAATTAATAGTTGACATTATCTAACATCACATGTTATCCTATGCATGAAATATAAACCCACCTCTAGAGATAAGGAACTGAGTGAAGCCCATGCTGATGACAGATATAGGAAGAGCTGTATGTACGTAAAGACAGAAGCATAATTCACTTATGATATCAATAAAACCACAAGCATAATAATGATTAAAAACACTGGATTTCCACTCACATCTGTACCAGAAGCTTTCCTGGTTGCACTCCCTGAACACCCTCCTCTCCTCCTCTGTGGGGATGTAGTCAATTCCTGTGGGACCCTACATATACATATACACATAAACATATTATTATTATTATTATTATTAGAACACTTAGGCTAAACACCACATAGACATTTCATTTTAAACCCCACAAAATATCAACACGACAAATGTCCAAAAACGTGGTATTAGTAAGACAGATGAGATCTAGCATGCATTCATGCACAAGCAGATCTACTGTATATGTGAGACTATAGAGGCCAACTACAATCAGCATTGCAGTGCATAACCTGTCAACATCACTCATTTTCTGCCTTTTTAGGTGATGTTTGTTACCTAACACACCAAGACTGTATTTCCTGGCCGTTCAGGGTCGGCTGGAGACTGCTGGTACATTGTACATCCGATGTCTTTGGCTGCAGTACTAGAGGATACCGCTGCTCTTTTACCGAAGAAATGCATCAATTCGATGGCGCTTAGAACTGTTCTCTCCAGAAGAGAAGACAAAATCCCCGCGATAAATAACACAACCACTTGGTTACGTCTGACCCAGGATCTGAGTAATACAAAAACTACCCAAACATTGGATTGTTACATTTGACCCAGGAGCTGGGTAACACAAAAACTAGCCAAACACTGAAAAAATAACCCAAAAAATGACCCAAAAGGCTCAACCCAGCATTTGGGTTAAAAAAAAAATAACCCAGGATTTTTTAGAGTGTAAGAACACATGAGATAGACCCAGCTCATTTACTTTCTGACAGTCTGTTACTCTACCATGATCAAATATTTGATTATGAATTAATTAATTATTACAGGATCGTTTCAAGTTGATTTCCAGCCCTATGTGTTGAATTGTCTATTATTGAAACTTATACAGTGTTGACAAAACCATTTTGCATATCCCTTATTTAAGTGAGTAGCTATTTAATTTTTTCTTTGGGTGATTGAGTTGACATATTGTAATGCAGAAAATATAAGCACATTACTTAATAAACTATTAAAAAATAGTTTTTGGTAATTGAAATAAAGTTGAAATAAAATAAAATATTAAAATTAGATTTAAAACAAACAAAAAAACTCATTAAAAGATTAAGAAGATTAGTTGGCAACTAACTGAAATAACGTTTGAAGTTTAATTTGAAGTATTACATTACTAAAACTAAATCTGAAATAAAATCAATTAAAGCTAGAAATATTAAAAACATGACAAACATGAAGCATGTATGAAAACGGAAAATATAAAAATAAACTCTAACTCAAAATATTAATAAATATAATAATGTGCATGTAAATCTACTAAAATAGCACTGATTAGAAGTTACATTAGTTATTTTTCACATGTGAATCTCTATGCATAGGAGAAAAGGTGAGAAAGATCTTAATGCATCAATAATATGCTATTTATATTTTCTGCTAATATTAGTACACTCTAAAAAATGCTGGGTTAAATACAACCCAGCACTGGGTGAAATATGGACAAACCCAGCAATTGGGTTGTTTTGACCCAGCGGTTGAGTGAAATGTTTAACCCAACCTTCTGGGTAGTAACCCAACCACTGGGTCAAAACAACCCAATAGCTGGGTTTGTCCATATTTTACCCAGCATTCTTTAGAGTGTATGTTTTCCTTTTACATCTTTTGACACCTTGTGCTCCCTAATGCAAATCATAGCTGAGCATGAATAGTTGATCTGAGGTAGATTACTGCACCCCAGTCTTGTCTTTGTGTTTATTTTACCCAGCACTGGGTTGTATTTAACCCAGCATTTTTTAGAGTGTAATATTATTGTGTATGCTGTTTTCATAGGTCAGTCTTAGATTATTTATTTATAGCAAAATATGTCACTTCAAGTAGGCTAATAACAGAAAGATCTGTGTACTCTGTCTCATAATCATAAATAATGGTTATAAAACTGGTGGTTTTAGAAAAGGAGAGATAACTGAACTGAAAACAGTTGGTGGCTCCATTAGTCTAAACTGGGAAAATCATTTATTCAGTGATCGATCAGCTCCAAACAGAATTGCATTGCTTCTCTACTGTCTCTTTTAAGGTCATAGGGTCTGTCTGTTTGTGTGTACACTGGAAAATTGATGCAAAAAAAAAAAAGACTTAAAAATTGCTAGTAAATTTCACAGTTAATTACAAAGAAACAGCAAGTAACACATGTAACAACGTGACATAAGTATAACTTATTTTACTGCACTGTGTTCTAAGGATACACTATTTGTACTTAAAATAAATAAACTGTGCAAAATATCTTATATTTCTAAAAATCAATTAATTTTGTCTATCTATAGCTTTCATCTTTATAATTAGGTAATTGTCATAAAGGGACGTTTCATGTACCTTACTAACTTTGTTTGAACTTGATGTCTATTAGGCTACACAAATTTGTATGGTACTTTCACTCGCCAAATTAAAAACTCTGACAAATTATTTACTATTCATTATGGTTTAACTGCTTAAATTTAGCCAAAAAATAAATAAATGAAAATAAAAACAGACTGGTTCCCATCCATATGCACTGTTGGGGCATGTTGTCACAACATTCACATTCAGTAAGTACTGTAACTGTATCGTTTTGATGCAAAAAGTGTGACACCTAGGCCTGGTTTCTCATATTATATGATACCGCTATAAATAATGTTTATTTTCAGTTACACAAAGGAAGTTAAGACATAATAGCAGAGAGTCATGCTTACTTAACCAGTGCTTTTAAACCAGCAGAGAGCACTGCAGTTTCACTCTGAAGTCACAACTTCCTTTTAGTACAGAGTTTTGATGTGGGGAGAGAAAAACTCATGAGCTGATTACTATACTAAGTTTGATTTACAGTGCTTTATTATATTCTAATCTATGATTCCTAATATGACATCTTATATATAAATATATTAGGGGAGATTTCCCCCATTGCCCTGCGATGGACTGGTTATCTGTCTAGGGTGTTTCCCCGCATACGGCCCGAGACGCTGGAACAGGCCCCAGCAACCTCGCAAACACAAATGGTTTGGAAAATGGATGGATGGATGTTTCCCTCACCGTCATAATAATGATCTCATTCATTCAGAAACTGATTGTCATGTGATCCAGTGCAAATGCAGGGTCAACAGGAATGTTATTGATCAGTGTCCTAGATTCAGGGTTCACACACACACACACACACACACACACAGAAACCTACCCCTTACAGGAAACTTTGTGCTATTTTACTTTCTCAAAAAAATTCATTCTGTATGATTTATAAGCTTGTTTCCTCATGGGGACCTCAAAAATGTCCCCACAAGGTCAAAATTTACTGGTATTACTATACTTGTGGGGACATTTGGTCCCCATAACGTGATGAATACCAGGTGCACACACACAGACAGACACACACACACACACACACACTAGTTGTGTCCTCACACATACTCTCAAGAGAACCAGCAGTTCATTTTTGTCCTCTGCAGAGGACATTATCTTTATTACTATATTAAAATAGTTTTAAATATCACATATCTTAAAGAGGGAGTTCTGGGCTTTTTGGAGATAGCTAATTTTTGGGTTAAGGCCTCTCCTAGTTGATTTTATGGAAGAGGAACATTAGGTGAATTATTTTGTCACATTTTATAGCATTTTGTAACTTTGTAAATTTGGAATGTAAATAAAAAAAATTACATTTTAAATTGTACTGCACAATATGTATTTCTTTTACAAGACCTTCAGGACTCAAATATGCATATATTGTCAGCTGTTGTGTAAACACAATACACAACAGTGTACAAAATGAATAGTGAATAGTGTACAAAAATAAGTTGTATCATTGAGGTACTATTGTAGTATTAATATTTTGAATTAGATTTTATTTTTACATTTTCATTAAAGTTTGAGTAATTTTGTGTGTTTTTGTCATTTTAGTTTTCAAAAATGTATCTATACAGTTTTTATCATTTTTTTTTAATTTCAGTTTTAGTTCTAAATATCTGTAATATGGATTGGTTGATGTTTAGTGGAAGTACTTAAAATGGTACATGGCACATATTAATACCTTTTGAAAGGTACTGCCCCAGTCACAGCTTTTGTACCTTTTTTTCTGAGTGTACCATATATATATGGTATATATAGTTCCCAGGGCACATCACCGAACACAATTGCACATTAGGTCTTTCATATCACAGACATTTAATAGCAGACACCTTCACACGGTCGTTATCTGATGCCACGCTCAGACAGTTTGAACCATGCGCATAAATGGGCACACACATACACGTGCCTACACAGACACACTCCCCTTTCCGAGTGTTATCACTGACGTGGTAAACCTTGGACAGGGGAATCCTAAATGATCTGCTGGGGGGCTATAAATGCATCTGACCGGGCAGAGGTTGAACTGAGCCAGTCTGAAGAACAGCAGAATTTGTGTGTGTCTCATAGAGTGGTCTCCTTCAAGACAAGTGCTTCTGTTCAGGCTGTAGTTTTGTCAGCTGAGGTCTGAAAGTAACAACCTTGCACTGGGTACACTGGTTTGGGCTGAGACAGGTAGAGAGGGGACACGGATCTGACCATTGATAAGTCAAGCATTTCAGAAGCCAACACAGGTAACCTGACTACACCTCAGGTAAGTGTTTTTTAAGTCAGTAAAATTGAAATATTAATTAAATATTAATTAATTAAAATATAAAATAGATTCTTAATATTCAAAATGTATATTTTAATTAATTTAATTAATATGTCGACACTTTTATACCAGTATTTTATAATTTAGTTAGATTTATAATTTAGACAGAAACAATTTAGTGAGATTTTGTAACATCTTCTATGCATAAAAAGCAAGTATTATGTTTTTTAAAAAGTGAGGATTACAAGTGCATGTATATGGAGCCAGATCGGCATACATGTAAGGTTAAAAAATGTAATGTACTGTATAATATTTACATCACATAAATATAAACGTTAAACTGAGTATGAAAATAGTGTAGTAATTCAAATCGTCTTTATAAGTGCCATTATAGCATACAGATCTTATTATTGATTATGTCAACAGACTTAAAATTCATCCTAAAATAACCTGTTGTGCAACAGCATCATCATCATTTCATTCTTTCTAGGAAAATACTAAACACTTCTCACTATTCCAACCAAATAGTTTTACTGTACTTTAAAAGCTGGTATAAAACCACAACATCCAAAGATGTAATCTGTTGTATCATTTGGTAATATTTTAAAATTCATTTGATTTTCGTATATATTGGCAATAACTATGATGAGCCACAAAGTCATTTGCATTGTGTTGAAGCCAGTGTGGAAATGATTTGGCACAGTACAGAAATCAATATAAAACCATGTGAGTTTGATCAATTGAGGAAGCTCTGATTATTGTGACGCTCTGTGCCTTGTGTCCATTTACTTACAAA